GAAGAGCAAAGATGTCGCTGTAGAGACTAAGGTGCACCTGGTCTAAGCCATTTTCTCTTCAGTTGCCACACGTGCATGTGAAAGGTGCACCGTGAAGAAAGAAGACTAGAGGACAGCTGATGCCCTTAAACTATGGCATCACCAATGCCTACAATGACCAGTGTAGCCTTTAAATTATGGTGCTGGCAAGGAAGATTGAAAGTGCTGTGTACTGCCGGAAGAACAAACAAGTCTGCTACGGAGGAAGCACAGCCAAAATGCTTGGTCTCACATACTTTTTAGACATCCCTGGAGAAGGACATCATCTTTGGTGAAGGAAAGGGTCCATGAAAGAGAAGATCTTCAACAAGATGGAGTAGCACCATGGGTGCACAGTGAGCTCAAATGCAGCAATAATTGTGAGGATGCTGCAGCACTGGGCAGCATTTCATGCTGTTGTACACAGGAGTAGGAGCCGACTTCATGGCCCCTAGAAGCACAACAACAACCCTGCCAGCAAGGTAATGTCCCTCTTAGAAAACAAGGGCAGCATGTAACTCATACAGCAACCAGATCTCTTGGTAGACATAATCTGAGCAGCTTTGCCTGGCACCACGATGGTGGCCAACCACGTTGCTTTGGCTATATGTTGCACCCCACAGTCTTGACAATGACCCAGTCTCCCACACGATTAGACTCTTACAAGGGATCACTGTGCCTCTTCCCTCTCTCCCATTCCAGGGCTTTGACCCATGAGGTTGTTTCCCACATGTGTCAGTCTGGGTTGGCTAGAGAAACAAATTTCATAGACACTCATATATAAAGAGTAATCGCATGTTAAGAAGACATCCCAGCCCACTCCACATCAAGTCCATAAGTCTGATATTAGGCCATATGTCTGATACCAGTCTATAAATTCCTCTTCAGACTCACCCAACACATGCAATGACGCAATGATGCAGGAAGATCACAGGCCAGTGGTAGAAAGTCTTGTGGATCCAGCGGTGGTAGAAGCATCTCAGCACTGGCATGAGTCTCCACATGGCTCCTCCAGCTCCAGGGTTCAGGCTTTATCAGCATAACTCCATGTGGCTTGTCAACAGGGATGTCTTGCAGGGAGAATGTGTGTCCCACTTCCCAGGAGGAAGACAGGAACTCCCAGAATCCTCAAGAGAAGGCCCTGACCATACAGAGACCTCATTGGCTATGATCTGATTGATAAGCTAGGCTCCACCCCTTCCCTCAAGTTGACAGTAGATTGTGTAACTGCCACATCAAACCAAGTATCATACCACTTCCCTGAAATTTTAAAAATTCAGATCTATTCCAGTGTCGGTTCTAATTGTTTCTGAGGTCGGTTTTACAATAGCAGACCCACAGGATCTTTATCCCACAGAGTTGGGAGAGTTCAAACTACCAGCCTTTTAGTTAATAGCCAGCTGTTTAACCTGGAATCCTTCCCAATAAAGCTCAGTGGAACACCGTGGAAAATAACCAAAACACGTCAGTAGTCTAATGGTGACAACAGATAAGCTGTCCCAAAAAACAACACAAAGCAAAATGTGATAATTAATTTAAAATGCTGCGGCAGTAGGGTCTTGTGTTAAATGACAGTGGAATAACTAATGTAGACAATGTTTGGTTTTTATGCACTTCTGTTTTAATAGTTTCTTAAATTCCTTAAGTTTAATAGCATGTTTCTTCAGTTCTTAAGCTACTGAACCAATATTTATTCTTGGTTTGGTACAGCAGTTTAATTTGGATTGCATTCTTCCTTTGCAGTATTTTCTGATTTTGTCAGATAAAATTTAGAATCAGCAAAATAAAGTTTTGTTCTTAATACAGGTGGGGTTACTTCGACAGAAGCTGGACAGTCTGGAAAAATGTAACTTAGCGATGACTCAGAATTATGAAGGTCAACTTCAAACACTAAAAGCTCAAGTAAGGACAGTTCTTACAATTTAAAATAAGAACTATTGATGTGTGCTACTGATCTATAAAAAATCATGTTAATTTTATTTAAATGATAGTTTTTAATGCAAGCAAACATTTTGGTCATCTTAGTTACAGATTACATCTTTTGGTCTTTCCTTCATAGTTTCATGTATAATGACTTTATCTCTTTTATTGGATTATCAACTCTATATCCTTTCTCTGTCCCTCTGTTAGCACAATGCTAGAATAATCACTTTCTCTGTTCTCAAGAGACCTATAGATAATTAAATGATAATTGTTTTATGTGAACAAAATATAAAAACAAAACAAAATTGTCCTCTGGGGTCATCACTCCCTAATAAGGATGAGAGAATAAAGGTGGTATTTATTACCTTGATATTTGTAGCTTTATTCCATAATGAGAGAGTGCTTCTGAATATGTGATGAGAGGGATCCTCGGTTCTTCCTTACTTCCCTTGTGCCTCCCAATAGGCTGGCAAGCAAAAAGCCTCCCTCACCACTGTACTTAGAGCAATAATCAGCTAAGCATGCTATATCCTTGTACACCCTAGTAAATGAATCCATGGGCGATATGGTTTATTACTGGATTGCATTGAATGGCATTGTTTGGGTCATTGAGTTAGTCCCAATTCATAGTGACACTATGAAATACTGGCTGCTTACTCCATCCTGCCCCCCACCCCCGCACTCCCTCCTGAACCACTCACAATTGTTGCTATCTTTAAGTCCATTGTTACATCTATTGTACCAATCCATCTAATTGAGGGTCTTCCTCTTTGCACTGGCTCTCTGCTTTACCAAGCATAATGTCCTACACCAGGGATTAGTACCTCGTGATAACATGTCCAAAGTACAGGAGAACCAAGTCTCCCCATCCTCGCTTCTAAGGAGCATTCTGACTGTACCTCTTCCAAAAATGTATTTGCTCTTCTGCAGTGTAGTCAGTATTCTTCCCTGACACCAGAAGTAAAGTGTACTCATTGTCCAGAGTTTGCTTTCTAGAAAGAAAAAAAAAAGGCTTTGTAGCAGGTTTGCCTAATACAGCGTTTGATTTCTTGACTGCTGCTTCCATGAGTGTTGACAGTGGAGCCAAGTAAAATGATAGTCTTCACTTGGATCTATCTTTGCTTGTCCTGATGTTATTGGCTCAGTTGTGAGGATGTTTGTTTTCTTTGTTGAGATGCCCTTTATCTTCATCAGTAGATGTTTCAAGTCCTCGACACGTTAGTATAAACCAACTAGCTTCTTGGATTATTTGCTCAGCATACAGACAGAATAAGCACGGTAGAAGAATACAACCTAATATGGACCTTTACTGACTTTTTAAATTTTATTTTATTTTATTTTACTGGGGGCTCCTACAGCTCTTATCACAACCCATACATATATCCATTTTGTCAAGCACATCTTTACATATGTTGTCATCATCTTTTTCAAATCATTTTCTTTCTATTTGAGCCCCTGCCATCAGCTCCTCCTTTTCTCCCTCCTTCTTCCACCCTCCCTCGCTCCTCCACACTCCCCTAACAATCTATAAATTATTCTTCTTGAAAGCTGTTGGTGCCCAGCTATTAAAAGATAGAGTGGCTGGGGTCTTAAAGACTTGAAGATAAACAAGAAGCTATCTAGCTCAGAAGCAACAAAGCCCACATGGAAGAAGCACACCAGCCTGTGGGATCACAAGGTGTCGAAGGGATCAGGTATCAGGCATCAAAGATTGCTGGGTCGTATGGTAGCTCAATTTCTATCTGCTTTGGATATTGCCAAATCGATTTCCATAATGGCTGTACATACCTACAGGTCCACCAGCAGTGGACAAGAGTTCCTATCTCACTACAGCCCCTCCAACACTTGTTACTTTCTGATTTCTTGAATTGGGCTATCTTTGAGGGTATTAGGTAGTAGCTCATAGTTGTTTTAATTTCCATTTCTATTATGGCTAGGTCTGGAACATTTTCTCATATGTTTATGGGCCATTTGGATTTCTGCCCTTGGGAAACTTCTGTTCAGATCCTTTGCCCACCTCCTCAGTGGACAATTGGTTTTTTTCTTGTTGTAAGTTAGCAGGGTATTGTAGATTTTAGTAATAAGCCTTTGTCTGATGTGTCATTGCTAAAGATGGTTTCCCAGTCTATGGTCTCTCTTATTACTCTCTTGAGAAATTATTTTGATGTACACAGTGTTTTAACTTCAGTATATCCCACTTGTCAATTTGTGCCTCCTCTGTGTGTCCTTCCCTATTTCCGATAGCCTATGTATTCCCTAAGTCAAAGTTCTCAGGTTTGTCTCAATTCTCTCGTTGATGGTCATAATAATTTGGGGTTTTACCTCGAGGTCTGTGATCAACCTTGAGTTTATTTTGTGCATGGAGTGAGATAAGGGTCTTACTTCATTCTTCTGCAGGTAGATATCCATTTTTTTCCAGCACCAATTGTTGAAGAGGGTATCTGCTTCCCGTTTGATATTTTTGGGGCCCTTATCAAAGATCAGTTGTCTGTATGCTGATGATTTTATTTCTGGGGTTTAAATCCTTTTCCATTGGTCTAAGTATATATCATTATACCAGTACTACACTATTTTGACCACTGTGGCTGTATAATATGTGTTAAAGCCAGGTAAATCAACCCCTCCAAATTTATCCTTCATGAGGAGCTCTCTGCTAATTCTGGGTTTCTTCCCTCTCCGTATGTAGTTGGTAATGAGTTTTTCTAATTCTTTTAAGAAAGATGATGGTATTCATATCAGGATAGCATTGATCTTATATAGTGCCTTGGGCAGAACTGACATCTTTACTATATTAAGTCTTCCGATCCACGAGCATGGGATATTCTTCCATTTGTTGAGGTCACTCTTGGTTTCTTTTAAGAGTGTTCTGTAGTTTTCCTCATACAGATCTTTTGTTTTTTCAGTCAGGTATATTCCTAGATATTTCCATTTTTGCTTGGCTATTGTGAAGGGTACTACCTTTTTGATCCCCTCTTCCTTGGTCTTGTCTGATGTATAAAGCAGTCCAATAGACTTCGTCTGTTGATCTTGTATCCTGCCACTCTGCCATATTCCTCTATTGTGTCTAGCACTTCTCTTGTGAAGTTTTTGGGATTTTGCATACATAAAATCATATCATCGGTGAATAATGAGAGTTTCACCTCTTCCTTCCCCAGATGAATACCTTTGATGTCTCTTTCCCCCCCTTATACTGTTATCTAGGACCTCCAGTGCGGTGTTAAATAGGAGTGGGGACCAGAGGCATCCTTGTCTGGTCCCCTTTTTCAGAGGGATTGTTTTCCTCCTTTCTCCATTGACTACCACCCTGGCTGTTGGTTTTCCATATATAGCTTGTATTATATTGAGGAGTTTTCCTTCAATTCCTATCTTCTTGAGTGTGTAAAACAGGAATTGGTTTGGACGTTGTCAAATGCTTTTCCCACATCTATCAATATTATCATGTGGTTCTGAACATTTTTCATTTCAATGTGGTGAATAATACTAATGGTCTTTCATATGTTGAACCATCCCTGCATCCCTGGTATGAATCCCACTTGGTCATGGTCAATTATTTGTTTTATATACTTTTGTATGCTGTTGGCCAGTATTTTGTTAAGGATTTTTGCATCGATGTTCATTAGGGATATTGGTCTGTAGTTCTCAATTCTTGTGGGATCCTTACCCACTTTAGGTATCAGAGTTATACTAGCTTCATAGAAAGAGTTTGGGAGTTTGCCATATTTTTCTATATTCTGGAAGACTTTGTGTTAGGATTGATGTCAGGACTTCCCTGAATCCTTGGTAGAATTCTCCTGTGAAGCCAGCTGGCCCAGGGGATTTTTTTTGGTTGGTAATCCCTTGATAACCTTGTCTATTTCTTCTATTGATATGGGTCTGTTGAGATTCTTGACCTCCATCAGGGATAGTCTAGGGAGGGATTGTTTTTTCCGAGAATTTGTCCATGTCTTCCAAGTTGTTGGATTCATTGGAGTACAGTCCTTTGTAGTACTGGTAATTATCCTTTTGATTTCATTGGGATCCACTATAATGTCCCCTCTTTTCATCCCTCATCCTTCCTATTGAGATTTGTTTCTTCCTTTCTATGGTTAGGTTTGCCATGGTCTGTTGATTCTGTTTATCCTTTTGAAGAACCAACTTTTAGCAGAATTAATTTTTTCCAGTTTTCTTATTTTCCCTCTCCAGAATCTTGGCCCTGATTTTTATTATTTCTTTTGTTTTGCTGCTAGTAGGATTGTCCTGTTGACTCTGCTCTAGTTGCTGTAAATTTTTGCCAGCATAAATCATAAGTCTCTCTTCCTTTTTTAGGTGTGCATATATTGCTGTGAAACTTCCTCTGATAACTACCTTTGCTGTGTCCCATAAGTTTTGGTACGTCATGTTCTCATTCTCGTTGGTTTCTAGAAATTTCCTAATTTCATCACTTATCTGTGCTAGCACACACTCCTTTTTCAATAGAGTTATTCATCCTCCAATTATTTTCCCTTGTTTCCTTCATCTTCCTTTTGTTGATTTCCAGCCTTATGACTCAGTGGTCAGAGAGAGAGGGCTGTATGATTTCAATGTGCTTAAATTTATGCAGGTTCAACTTATGCCGCAGCATGTGTTCTATCTTCAAATATGTCCCATGTGAGCTTGAAAAGAACGTGAATAATTTTGTATTTATGTGGAGAACTCTGCAAATATCTATCAGGTCATATCATCTAATTGTGCTGTTTAGATCTGTAGTCTCCTTGTTGAGTTTCTTTCCTTGTGGCCTATCTTTCTCAGAGAGCAGTGTATTGAAGTCACCTACTATAATTGTTGAGCCTGTGATTTTTTTTCATCTTTTGGAGCATTTGATTGATGTATTCTGTTGGTCGCTTGTTCAGCAAGTATATGTTTAAGATGCTTACTGGTTCTTGGTCAACTGTTCCCTTGAGCATATATAGTGTCCCTCCTTATCTCTTTTTATGGTTTTCACTATGAGATCAATTTTATCT